AGTTTACTGCTTTTCCCGTTTAAAAACACACCCCACAAAAAAGCAGTTTCTAGTTCAGTCAATTTTCCAGTAACAACTCTTTTTACATCACCTTTCATCCATTCAGATTCCAACATAATGTAGAATATACATAATAAATTACTAAAAACTAACATAATTCAATAAAACACTTGGCAATCTAATAACATCTAGAAAGACAAGGGAATGAAATCAATTAAAATGTCTGTACAAATAGATACAATTTAAAATAGCATCTAAAATATTGCAATGTAGACAGGCTTTCTTCTTCTGAAACCATTGTTGAAAAAACCTACTTTTGAAGAATGCTGGAAAATCCAGTTGGAGCGAAACTGACTCTAAATTTAAATCCTGGGTATCAATTGATTATTTTTATTTTCCAACTTAAGATGTTGGTTTTAACCTTTAAAACTTAAATCCCAACTATCTATGGGACCACTTCACTCCTTATGAATCAATCGTTATTAGACTCTGTATGGCAAGCTACTGTTATTTCCAGCACTGGAATTATGGCTTAATGTATATTTCACACTTTGTGAAATATTTGTTTCATATTTTTAAAAAATGTTTGTAATTCTTGCAGGATGATTTTTTTTTTAATGTACATTTAAGGCAACTTGAGGAACACACTCATGGGAACATTCATACTTAATTGTTTTTGGAATACAAAATGAAATATTCAAAAACATTCACAGGAAAGAATGAAACATACCATGCAATAAATCTAACAATCCACCACCAGCCTATTTTCTCTCTATGGTAGTCCTCAATTTACGACCAATGAATCCAAAATTTCTGTTGCTAAACAAGACAATTGTGAGTAGTACCCCATTTTACGACCCTTTTTGCCACAGTTGTTAAATGAATCACTGTAGTTAAATGAATCATGCAGTTATTAAGCGAATGTGGCTTCCCCCATTGTCGAAAGCCAGCTGGGAAGGTTACAAATGGTGATCACATGACCCTGGGGCAGTGCAACCCTCATAAATACATGCCATTTGCCAAGTGTCTGAATTTTGATCATGTGACCATGGGGAGGCTGCAACAGTTGTAAGTGAAAACTGGTCAAAAGTCACTTTTTTCAATGCTGTCGTAACTTCAAGCCAGTGGTGGAATTCAAATTTTTTTACTACTGGTTCTGTGGGCATGGCTTGGTGGGTGTGGTGTTGTTTGGTGGGCATGGCAGGGGAAGGATAATGCAAAATCTCCATTCCCACCCCACTCCAGGGGAAGGATATTGCAAAATCTCCATTCCCACCCCACTTTGGGGCCAGCCAGAGGTGGTATTTGCCAGTTCTCCGAACTACTCAAAATTTCTGTTACCGGTTCTCCAGAACCTGCTGAATTTCACCCTATTCAAGCTGTCACTAAACAAATGGTTGTAAGTCAAGGACTACCTGCATTCCAAAGGAAAGGCCGTTGCTGAAAGAATGATGCCTTTTAATCCCCAATATTTCCCATTTGGGGGACATCAAACTCTCCTTTTCAGGCCTTCTGATCCTGCAAACAAGAACATCCGCAGCTTTCTTCTTCTTACATACCAGTGGTGGGTTGCCCTGGTTCACACCGGTTCTATAGAACCAGTAGTAAAACCGGCGGGAGGCTCCGCCCACCAACCTCTACATCATCAGAATTCTTCTGCGCATGCGCAGAAGAGCATGCGTGCAAGCGCGCAAAGCGAACACACACGAGCGGCCTTGTTGCGAACCAGTAGTAAAGGTAAGTAGAACCCACCCGTTACATACTGTACAGTACAATTTATCATGCTTTCCATAACAACTGCTGTGTTAAAATTCAAGTAATTGTGAAATCTATTACATTTATCTCATTCAATAGTAAAATATGAACCAATCAATTAATCATAACTTTCTCTCTGCCCATGAAGTGCATGCTGAATCTAGACAAATAATATAGAGATGCAATATAATTCCCTTCGTGATACATCAATATTAAATCTTGTCTTTTATCATTTTTGAAAAAAAACAAACGTTAAGATTTCATACAACTCACGGCATTATACATCAATGATTCATGACAACCAAGCTTATATAAAAAGTATCCATAACTCCTTTAAAATAAATTGAAATGACAGCAGGTAAGGGAAAATTTTGGCCAGTAAAGACAATCTGCTCTCTAAAAACTTTATAGACACTTTGAGTTTATTCTAGCAATGTTAACACCATGAAATATTAGTTGCACTGTCACAAGGAATGGTGGTATAATTTTCGGCATACTCTAGAGTCGTCTAAAAATAGTAATAGAGTGAATACCAATTCAGTATATTGGAATTCCAGGACTGAAAAGAGATACAGAAAAAAATACTAGCTGAAAACCATATTAACAAAGTGATATTTTCATCTGTTGTGATGAAAATAATATTTTATGTGCTGGTTGCAGTATTCCTCAGTATTGGCCTGTGTATTTATTCCTATTCTATCTAAAAAAAAATCAAATCTATTTCTTACACTCCCTGGGCAATTTAAATTGAATATCATAAATCTTAGCCAGAAATATTCTAATAGCACAGATATATTACATGAAGGAAAATAAAATGGTGTGCTAAAAATAAATTTGCTAAAACTAAACCGGTTGGAAATGGCCAGGTGCTTATCACCTAATTTTTGCTCATAGTCAGAATCCTGAAAGAAGATATGTTTTCAATCTGTAACCGGGTAGAAAGCATATGTAAATAAAGTATCTGCCTGAAATATTCCTGGGACCTGTACTGCACCCCACAATTCCAGTTCTCCAGACCAATCAAAGTGCTCAAAAATATAGTCAATCCTACCTTAGAGTTCGCCGTTTTGAAAATTACGATTATGTCTGCATGTTAGCATGCATATTGGTTGCAAAGGCAAGGGCAGAAGACAACAAAGTACACGAACAGGAGCAGTAAGATAAAAATATGCATATATAAATAGGAGTTTGCTTTTGTTATGTGCAGTCCCTCAGATTATCCCGTGGCACACGGGTGGGCAATTCACAAACTTCCCATTAACATTTTTGTAGAGACAGGATTTTAATAATTGTTTATTACAATTCCCTCTCCCAAATTTCCTGTCTCCACATTTCAACAAGTAATACTTACTGAATGATAAAATAAGCAGAAAAGTGTCACAAACTAACTGATTTTTTTTAAAAAAGCTACCAAACTCTATATTTGTTTGCAGAATCAAATGGTTCCACCTTTTGTCAGGTCATATAGAAGTTACAATATGCAGATAACATGCATAACTAGTTACATTGCTCTTGGCAATAAGAGTTTCAGACTGATCCCTCAGTTCTCAATATTCTCTTAGTGGCTAATAATGCAATGGAATGAACCAGTCTTAAGATAATGTAAGTTTTCTCATCTCACCCCAACCATTAAACTTCAGAGAGAAGAGGAAGAAATTTAAAGAAGTTGCATTCTCACCAACCATCTGCTACAACTTTGAACCATGCCAATTTCCATTTAGGACACAAATCAATTAAAGACTGTGACAAAGAAGAGAAAAAAAAAAAAAGAGTCCCGGAAAATGAATTATACTGCAGCTTAAAACCACAAACCCAGATTAGATTTGTTCAGAAAAGATAGGAAAGACTAATAGTAAAAGAAAATGTAATCTGGTAAGGGTCAGCTGTTGTTCTTCCTAGACTTACATATTTATTCAAGATGCATTACATCCCATTAAGAGAGACTGTAGGGACCCCTTTACATTATATTATAGGAGACACATAATGAATGGCTCCTCAAGAAGGTCAACCTTCAGCTCTGCAACCTTAAGGGCTTCAGAAGCTTGAATGCCAATGTTAGGTGCTTTGTCTAGGTTACTAGCTGCACAAATAAGATTTAACAAAGGATCTCCTTAGTCATCGTATACAGATTGCTGGAGTCAAATAATCCTATTTCATTCAGCTTTTCTCAGGATGCAGAATACACACACAGAATTTCAGAGGCACAGGAATTCAGTTTTCTAAAATGCACTATTTTCTTTTATGCATCACTTTTCAATGTATATCAAGTGAGTTTACAATCATATTTGTTGTCACTTTCATTCATGTCAAACCTTTTCCTTATTTGATTGAGATCTGAGTTACTGACTGTTACATTCTCGTTGAAAAATGAGAAGAAAAAGGGAAAGAACAGGAGACAACACTCCACAACTGAGCATCTGACCCAAGAGCTGAAACTCAGCAACAGTTCACACTCTTGCTTTTTCGTCTGAGCTAAGGCAGAAGACAAATCTCTCTTTTCCATGAAGAAAAACATTTGGAAGTTGAAATAAATAAGTACCGGATGTCACTGAACATTGTTCACTGAGCATCTGCTGTTTAAGATCACCCTTGATTGATGACAGCTATTTTTAATTGTTGCTTTTAAAATTTAAATGCCCCCCTGAGACATGTTATAAGTGTATTAGCGCATGGCAGGAGGCCTGCGAGGTGGGAAACACAGAACGGGTATTTTCATGTCATTAACACTTGAATCCAAGAAATACAATGTAAAATAAAATAACCCTGAGAAACAATAGTCAAAAAGGCTAATCCCCAATAGATAATTTGTATGTTTGCCTTGACAAAGGTTTTTTCTGGTCTTGGTATATGCCAAAATGAAACATTTGTAATTATTCATGCATTTTTCAATGACTTTATAAAGCATTATAAAAGAAGAAAAATATTTCTGTTTAAGTAGATTATAAATTACAATCATGTAGCCACTTCTGGACTCTTTTAAATTAATGTAAATTGTAGAAAAGGTGTTAAGATAAAAATGACATGAAAAATATTCCCTTGTTTTTCCTCGTATACATAGGTACAATATCACATAAATCACATTCTATTTGCACCATTTAAAATATGCTTACTTTAACAATTGCAATAGCAAAGGTGAAAATCTGTTCCTTTTCATCGAGATATATTTTTGGAATGAAATAGGTTTGCAGAGATATGCTTTAAAAGGAGGGTAAAAGATGCAAGAACATAATTAAATTTTTCCTTACCTGTTTTTTCTTTAATTTCACACAAGACATTAAAAAGTGCAGGTTTCATTCTGTGACAGTTTAGAGCATGTTTTCTGCAAGGAAATCAGAAGGGTTAGGTTTGAAGTGAGCCACAGAATTGTGAATATCTTTAAAAATAGATTACAGGGGATTCCTTATGCAAAAAAGTATTAAAGGTTATAGCTCAGTGAAAATTGTGCCCAAGTGAAAAAAGCCATTCAATTTTGTATTGAATAGGATATCAATTTTGGGATTGTAAATGCTACCAAATAGGGAACTATTTGACACCGCTATTCCAGCAGCATCCATAAACTATACTTGCTGGCCAGGCTATTAACTGATCAATGCCAGGAGCATGTAGAAGCCTTTCCAGTGTTTAATGATGATCTTATTCAGCCACGTAGGGAACTTTTGTATTTTCTTCTCCACCCCCCACCCCCCCATTCATCCATGTCTTACAATTCTTTGTGTTGAAGCAGCTCTACTGGAAAGGTTTAAAAGCCCTTTAAGGAAACCTGAAGTACAGAATAGCTATTTTTAAGTAAAATAGTCTCAGAATGCAGAGCTATACTGCCAGAGAGAGAGAAAAAAAATCTAATAAGGCCTCACCACTACCATTATGTTGCTATTCTAGTATGCAAAAAGAGAGGATTTATATGGGTCATTTCCTGCCCCACTTCCTTGTGCCAAAATTGGCCAGTTGTTTGTTTATTAGGTTGATTAGTTTCATGTCCCAGCAAATGCCCATCGAAAGAAAGAAACAATCTAACATTGCTGTAACAATTACTATTTCTTTGACAAGTAATCTCTTCTGAAGATATGCTGCTATAATATGCAAGAGGTCTAATATCATTGGGCATCAAAGAATGGGTTTGAGAATCAAAATTACATGTCATCAGAACATGAACATTTTGGTGCCTCGGGCAGAAAAATTGAAGAACCTTCTCATTCCACTGATTAACATGGAATGCAATCCATTAGGCTGCACTCTTTTGCCAGCAGCCCATCATTTCTATGTGCAAGAGAATACCCCACTGGTATGTACATAATGTGTTGGAACTACTTTCTTTCCATTCCTAACAGTACCCAAAATCCATGGCTCTGTGACTTGCAACTGGCACACTAGCACACAGTATATTTTGATTTCACAAATATCAGAACTATTAAAAAAAATAGTGCAAGTAAGTTTGCTAGCACATACTTTAAAAATATCTTTGATATTTCCAATCAGTGGGTTACACAAAGCAGAAAAATAATGAAATACACATTTCCTTTTAAAAACCTGGTCTGCTTTTTAAAAGTCTGTAAGCAGAGCTGCAGGTACTCTTTACAGGTATGTAAAGAGTAACAAGCGACAAAAAGCATTATTATGTTTGGTATTGATTTCCAATTAGATTAGCACATTTAATAGTATCTATACACACTAAGTATTTAAACCAAACATCAACTCTTGCAACTTTTAGAAACATCTTTCCTCTGCTTTGTCTTATAGCAATATTGGGAAGCATCATTCAGCAGAAGCTATTGTTCATCAGTCCAAGGGTTCTAACAAAACAAGGATATGAACCCTGCACTTCTTGGCCCGGTGATGCTTTAAAGCTATGCTATACGCCTTATAGTAACAAGTTCAGTAACAAGAGCTACTGAAATCTATGGAACTTACTTGTAATCGTTTAAAGAATTTCACCGTTAGCTGGTGCTATATATCAATTCCATCTCAGTGAATATTAGGTGTAACAAACCATGTTAAGATATGCAATTTACCATTGACACATAAAGTCTAACAGTCTATCCCAAGTGATTGTGAAAAGGATTAGACAAGGAGTGCAAATAAAATGCTAACAGCTTTTCCTAGGGTAAAATTATTCTATTAACTATTGTCCTTTATTTTCCAATTTTATTCCTCTCTTATTTTCCAATTCTATGTTGTGGATATCGATTTTTTTTTCATTTTAATTTTAGATAAAGATTTGCAGAAATGTTCTAGGAGAGTGCATACATATAGTTATATATACTGATGTAAGTGTGTTTAAGAAGCTCTAATTTTAAAACACACAGAGGCACTAAAAGTGTAGCACTATAGTACTGACATTGAACTTTTACAAAATAATTATAAGGGATTTTTTTTTTAAAAAAAAAGCATGCTTCTCTTCCCCAAAATTCAGTTTGAAGAGAAACAAACTAACATGGTGACTTGTGAAAACAATTGCAATGCTAAAGATAGAAGTATTGTACAAACTGGCAAATGCTTCAATGTGCACATACAGGCACATGCAACTTGCTTTAGATTATGACCTGCTGTTTCATATAAATTCGTGTGGTTTCATATGTGGAAGTACATCCCGGAATGGATATGTAGTTGGAAAAGTAGTGACATTTACAGGCTGCATTCTACTATCTTCTAGGCTTCTTAAGAGACTCATCTCCTTATGGTAGAAATATATATTTATCCTTTCGAATATCACACATAGAAAAAAACTGAGTTACCAATGCAACATCAATACTTGCTATCACAAGAGGAGAGGGAATTATTCTGCTTGTACAAAGGGGCCACCAAAGGGAACAAGCATTAAATGATATTAAGCTCACAGATTTTCAATGGGATTAAGTATGATTTAAGTTTTTTTGGACTGTACCTAAAGAGCTATAGGGAAGAGCTTTCAACCATAGCCTTCAAAAGGTTTTGCTTTTTTGCTCTTTCAAAAACAAAACAAAACAGCCTTTTTTATAGCCAGTCTATTTGCATTTTTCCTTTAAACAGTAAAAATCACTCAAAATATTTTTGGAATAATGGCTGATAAGATAATCTATTTGCCTCCTCTGTTAGATAGCAGATGCAGTCTGATATTTACACCCAAAGTTCAATCTCTCAAATATTACAGCTAAGAAAATGACATGATTTAACTTCTTTTTCGGATCAAATACAAATTAAATTGGCTATTTGAGACTTTCAGTTCATGAACTACTACAAACAAAAGCACATGGGAAGCTGCAGCTCCCAACTCAAACAAACCATCCAGTCAAGTTAGCTGTTTAGCCTTGTTTAACTTAACTAAAGTCAGTCACAAGAATAACATCCATTCCTTGGAACCTCTTTTTCTCTGAAGACCTAGTAAAAACGTAATTTTAGGCTATTAGGGTCGTCCAATGAAAATCTGATATTTCTTCGGGATTACTTTGTTTCCCGAAGGCTAAGGAGAGCACAGAAAGCCCAAGTATTTGTCTGGATCAGATCCTCGTGTTAAATACGTGTAAGTATCATCTTCGTCGTCGTCATCACACAAGGACTCACCTGGCCTGCGCTTCATCCAAACTCTGGTCGGTGATGGTCATGATTTGCTGTAAAATGTCCCCAATGTCTTGTTTTCGTCCCCCCTCGGTTTCAGTGCCGGCAGCTCCGTCCGGCATATGTTGGGACAGGCCCGGATGGCCAGCCATCCCCACTCCGGCGTGGGAATGCATCAACCTGGGCTGATCATCCATCCCCAAGGCTAGGCGCAGACGGGGCCCCTTCTTTTCCCCCCTTCTCGAGCTTTTTCGGGAGCGCGCTTCTTGGAAGAGAGGAATCAACTGCTGGACTCGCCTTCCTTCCTTCCTTCCTTGCCTTTCTTCTTTGGGTTTTCAAAAAAGAATAATATTATCCCTTAACGAACCTCAAACCTCCCGAGAGAGAGAGAGGAAAGGAGGGTAGGAAGCAACACTCTCGGAATTCTTGTGAGGAGGCTGTCGGGTCCAGCAGGAAAGGAAGCGGCACTGGAGCAGGATCAAGATGAGAAGCCGGATCGGGCTCGCTTTTTGCTGTTCCTTTTTCTCCCCGTCCCAGCCAGGTTCTCGCTTTTCGCTATTGAGGTGGCCGACAGAGCAGCGCTGGAGGCGGTCGGTGGTCGGCAAGCTACTGCTTAATCTGGCAAAAACCCGCCTCGATCTGAAAGGCGAAGGAAAGAGCCGAGCAAACTTTCCCTGCCCGCCCGCCCCGCTCGGGAGCCAGATGCTCTCCCCGAAAGGAGCTTCGCGCTGCGCAGAGCTGACGGCGAAAGGCACAACCCGACGCCTCGGCCAAGGCAGGGAGCCTCCCCCTCAGTTCGGCGTCTCGGCGAACTCCGGAGAGCCCTTTTCCAGCCTCCTGCTTTGTTTCAGGCTCAAGCTCAGGACTCCTGAAACTGACACAGAAAAGGCACAGCCAGGAAGGAAGGAAGGAAGAAGGGAGGGAGGGAGAGGAGGAGAGCAGATGGGTGGTGCTGATGAGAGAGCCGAGAGGGCGCCTCGCCCTCCTGATTGGCCGCCGCTCGCCGCCGATAACTCCTCCCCGCTTTCGCCATCACCGATCCCCCTCCCCCCGCGGGCGGCTGCCTGTCAGTCACCGGGTTCAGAGGTGCGCGGTGCTGGAGGCTCCAGGCCTTAAAGAGGCAAGCTGGAGTTAGAAGGGAAAAGGAGCTCCTGCCTCCGTCTTAGTGGAGTAAGCAGCTGCCGGTTGGTGGTAGTGCGTACAGAAGAGGCCGTCTTCAATCAAACGGTTGTTTTTCACTCGAACTCGGGAGTCTGATATAAAAGAAATGCAACTGACTCATATTGAGCCTGGTAGTTTCTGTTGTAAGTAGCAGACTTGAATACAGCCCGCAGATCCTGCGTACAATAATAAACTTCTAGTTAGTCATCACTATTATTTTGGCTGGGACAATCATTTGTTGTTTCTTTTTGTTAAAATAAAACGAAATTAAACTGGGAGTCACCCAGCCTTCCCGATCTGCTGCAGATCAGCCAGAGATCCAGGGTAGATCAGATTTAATTCCTGCCCATCCTTCCAATAATATAGGAAGCCCAACTAATTCAGGGGGAACTAAAACATCCTAGCCGGGTCACCCAATTCTGTCTGCACACATTTAATTATGAGAGGCATGATATTAATGAGAAATAATACAAAAGGCATTTGGAGATTAGAAGAGATGATAAAAGATAACCAGTCTGGGTAGTGTAGCACTTAAAGTGGCACTAGAGAATAGTGCTCAGCTAACTCGGTTACTCAATAATGTTTCTGTACACAGTCAACTTTCAGAGATTCTCAAGCTTTGTATTTTATTTTATTTTTTGCTCCTGGTTCCCTACTGAGCTTCTGTAGCTTTGGGACCCTGCCCCACCCCATCTGCCCACCCCAATAGTTGCTGTCAGCTGGGGAAAGGATACAGTATAGTATAGTTTATTAAATAGCCCGAAGGCCTTTTCAAACAAAACAGAAGAGAAAAAGGGAAAAAGATAAAACAGTTACAAAAATAGCAATCTAAAAATATATGATAGATGACATTAAGGAAAGGATACTTCCTGGGGTACCCTTGACTTCTGTTGATTGCCTGAACCCCTGCAGTTCTCTTGGCAAGATTTCATATGTGGCTTGCCATTGCCTGCTTCCTAGGACTGAGTAAGAGTGTCTGGCCCTGGGTAACTCAGCTGGCTTCATGCCCAGGGCAGGAGTTCTTCTAGTTTATAGTCTAGTGGTTTAACCACTACACCAGACTTTTTTTAATGAATTAAATTTCCATTTATTATAGATTTCTTTAATTAAGATATTTATTTTAAATATATAATAAATAAATATATAGTACTTTTTACCACGTATGATGCTGAAATTAGTACGCATGAGATATGAGGTTTATGACAAATTGATCATTCAACTTTGCAGTTAAGTCAGTGGTTTGTGATGGAGAAAATGGGCGTTTATATGCTTTATTTATTTATTTATTTATTCATTCATTCATTCATTCATTCATTCATTCATTCATTCATTCATTCATTCAATTTATATGCCTGCCCATCTCAATCAATGACTATGGGTGGCTTACAATTCAAAAAATACAATTCAAAAAATATTAGTTAAAATATTAAAAACATTTTAAAGCAATAAAACTAGGGGTGAAATCCAGCAGGTTCTAACAGATTCTGGAGAACCGGTAGCAGAAGTTTTGAGTAGTTCAGAGAACCGGCAAATACCACCTCTGGCTGGTCCCAGAGTGGGGTGAGAATGGAGATTTTGCAATATCCTTCCCCCAGAGTGGGGTGGGAATGGAGATTTTGCAATATCCTTCCCCCAGGAGTAGGGAGGGAATGGGGATTTTGCAGTATACTTCCTCTGCCATGCCCACCAAGCCACACCACGCCCACCAAGCCATGCCCACAGAACCGGTAGTAAAAAAAATTGGATTTCACCACTGAATAAAACCATAAAAAACACTAAAACATTCAATTAAATATTCAAATTAAATACACTGTTGTTTATTGATGGTTATTTTGTATTGCAATTTTGTGAGCTGTCAGCCACCCAGAGTTTTATTTGGTGAGATGAGTAGCCATATAAATTAAATAAATAAAATGAAGGTGGGAGTTCTAACTATTTCAGGCTCCTGGAGAAAAAGACAAATATTGAATTCATATCATTTTGCCCGTTCCATGGACTATTTCTAGATCCTGCCAGCCACAGTCACTCACTGCCAGCACTAGTCAAGGATAGCACTAGCTTATTATCAGTTGCTCTCTCGTGCTTCATCCTGTATCTCATCTCCATGCCAGGGACCCATCAACAAGACGATTCTTTTTAACATCGGTTTAGGGCTTCTTCAGAAGAGCACTAGATCTATATTCAAAAATAATGAATGAATTAAATATTATTATGTACAGTCACTATGCACTTAGTTGAGAATAAGCCTAGTTGAATTTAGTGGATGTATAAACCTGCAGTGGACCCAAGAACATCTTGCTGGAATTAAAAAATGTGTATATAGATGATTATAGTTTTGATTCCAAAGTGATTATTAGGGATAAGAGAGATCTCTATTGAGATCGTGAAGAACTTTTTAGCCAAAAAGTCCTTTTAAAAGATTTGTACATTCTGGGAAAAACGTGTTCCAAATCTAGTTTAAAACAATTTAGGTGGTTAGTATAATCACTACTGCCTAGATAAAAAAAATATGGGCATTAGTATATCAGCATTTCCTTTTTCCTTACTTTCCCCCTTCCCACCATATTGCTGATTAAACCTGCAAAATGGTGGAACATAATAATTCATTATTATAATTCAATTAAACAGTTGTTTTATTTACCTTTAAAAATGAGTCATAATAACTACAACATTTGATATTTCCTAAAGAAATGTGTATTGTGGCAATCCAGTATTCATTTACTGAAAGCAGTAAGCATGGCTGAGCACAGAATTTGTTTCAAGTAAAATCTGCACAGCAACAACTGTGTGCAACTGTTGTGCAATTTTCACTATAAGGTAGGCCATGTTTTATTGTGATGACAGGCAAAATACAATTGATAATAAATCGGATTGCCCAAATGCTATTACTATTCTCATACAACTACAAGCAATGTGAAGGTACAGGGATACAACACTTTCCTGTTTGCAACCTTTTTTGATAAACAACTAACCTGTCCTCTATCAAAGCTATATAGGCTGGTAGTCTGGCCTTCCTTCATCTGACTAATGTCCTTAGTTAATAATGTACCCCCCGCCCCGCATGCAGTATTTTAGGTGGATTCATTTTCTCTGCTCCAGACCTTCCCATAGTGCCCTAATTTTTCCTCACCATTACATAAAACTTTCCATGCAGAAGGAAGAGAGAGAACTAACAACTCTGTCTGCTGGGTTTGTAGGAGGTGGACAATAATAATTCTGCTTTATTTTCTCTTAAGTGTTTTCTTTGTTTTGAAGAAATAAAGAATAAGAATAAGAGAATAACAGGGTTAGAAGGGCCTTTGGAAATCTTCTAGTCCAACAGTGCTATCATGTCACCCCTAGTCTTTCTTTTCACTAGACTAGACATACTCAATTCCTGCAACCATTCTTCATGTTTTTTATAAAGTCCCCTAATCACCTTTGTTGCTCTTTTCTGCACTTTTTCCAGAGTCTCTACATCTTTTTATAATATGGTGACCAAAACTGGATGCAGTATTCTAAGTGTGATCTTACAAAGGTTTTATAAAGCGGTTGTCAAGTCTGTCCCAACTTAGTTATTTAAGAAAGAAAGACCCTAAACTCCATTTCCTTGAAGTGAAAGGTTCTTTTATTAAAATCAGGTAACAGCAAAAGCAAAGCTGAATCTGAGTATTTCCCATGCAAAGGTTGCACTTGTCCCCCCTTTACCAGTCCAATACAGGGGTGAAATGCTCCCGGTTCAGACCGGATCGCCCGATCCGGTAGCGATGGCAGCGGGTGGTTCGGAGAATTGGTAGCAAAAATCCCTGCCCCCCCCAATGCCCAGCTGATCCCCACGATCATCAGAGGCTTTTTTTTTTTACTTTTAAAAGCATTATTTTCTACAACCTCTTCGGATGAAAAAATGCTTTTAAAAGTAAAAAAAAAAGCCTCTGATGATCACGCGGCTCAGCTGGGATCATCAGAGGCTTTTCAAAGCATTTTTTTCTGCAACCTCTTGGCCGAAGAGGTGGTAAAAAAAATGCTTTGAAAAGTCTCTGACTATCCCAGCTGAGTTGCCTGATCGGCAGAGAAGTATTTTTTAAAAAATACCTCTCTGCCGATCAGGCAACTCAGCTGGGATCATTAGAGAGGTATTTTTTTAAAAAGCCTCTCTGACGATCCCAGCTGAGTTGCCTAATCGGCAGAGGCTTTTCAAAGCATTAGAAAAAATGCTTTGAAAAGTTTTAAAAAAAAAAGTTGGCCACACCCACCCTGTCACATTACCCCCACCCCCACCAAGCCATGCCCACAGAACCGGTAGTAACAAATTTTACATTTCACCCCTGGTCCAATAGTATAAATTTTTGATGTTTTGAGAACAACTTTGAGGTTTGGCGCCTCTTCATGTAGTTTTGCATTCTGTTCTCAGGCTGTATGTCTTTGGTGACCAGTTTATTCTGGTCTGACACCTCTGCTTCTTTTTTTAATTTTTTTATTATTTTTTAAATAAAAAATATTTTTATTAAACAGTTTTTAAAAAACAAACAAACATACCATCAGAAGACAAGTTGATTAGAAAAATTATGGAGTGTGCGGAAATGGATAAGCTCCCAATGGAGATACAAGAAAAAGATGAAACAGAATACTACTTAGTCTGGGAGAAATGGTATAAATGGTGGGAGGAGAAAGGGGAAAAAAAAGGGGGGGGGACAAAAGAAAACTAAACAATGGTTAAATTAGGCGGACGAATATGGAAACAAATGGGAAGATATAAATTGTGGAAAGGAAACTAGGTACCTGT